CCCCAAAACCCCAAAACCCCAAAACCCCAACTATGATTGCAAAAATCATATGATGAAACATTATTAAATAATAATTTATTGTGAGATTACTTAGAAATGGATCAAATTTATTAAGACAGGTCTTATGAGATTAAATTTTCCCCGACAAACCCCAATTTCCTGGGAGTTCTTTCCAGTCGTGACATATAAATATTTGAGTTACGAAAAGAACTCTAGTAATAGTTCAATTTGCAAGGAGGGATTATCCAAAGGCAGTTTAATTCAATGGAAGATCAATAGACAACTTCAGCTTTCTCTTAGAAATTTAAGCTAAAAGTAGTAGTTGAGGTATGATTTTATGAATGCATCTAAATAAAATTAGCTTGACTAAATACAATCATTCGAATGGGCTAAGATAAAAAATTAGTTGTTTGCAGTGGCTGCACACCAAAATGGAAAGGTAAAATTATAATACTCTTAAATTTTCCAATAGATTTCATTTGTCAATGTGAATCACAAATAGCTGCAAATCTAGCAAAACATGAGCTCAGGCTTAGCTAATAGTTACCAAGGAAGTGTAGTTTACACTGGCAGAGTAGAAAAAGAATTCTTTACTGGAAGCATGATTCAAAACCCAAGACAGTGTAACGCGATATCATGGAACCCTTATGAGCAAAATATATTCGCAGCAGGCTATGAATAAGTAAACCATAATTTGACTTTGTGACCACATTTTAACATTATCAATTTAGGCTAAAAATGAGTCAAGTCTGATGATATGGGATATAAATAAATCACCCAACTCTAATTACAATAAGATGAGAGACAATGAAAGGATCATGCTTCAGAATCAGTAGTCTGACTCCGCAGTGGCTAAGATAGAATATAAGCCTAAGCCCGATATTTTATTTGAGACACGTCACTCATTCCAAAAGATCAATGATGATGTATACTGCCTTAGCTGGTTTCCCAATAGCAGCACTGAACTACTCTATGGTACAGATAAATATATTAGAGTATGTGATACAAGAGAACACCAAAATTTAAGCCAATTTGAAGATGTCCATAGCAATTAAGTACAGGGTATTTCATTCGATCCTTTTGATCCAAGAAGGTTTGCTTCCTTCTCTGAGGACACAATCAAGATTTTTGACTTAAGAAGCACTAAGAAACCTCAATTTATCATTAAGCCAGAAGCTAGAAAGCAATTTTCTGGTTTTGAGTGGAGCTTAAGAAGACCCAACTTGATTCTCTCATTTACTAAAAGATGTGTAAGTTAGTATTTTAATAAATTTATGTCTAGAATGAAGTCGATTTCTGGCAATTGTAAAGCAATGAAGGCTAAGATCCAACCAGATTGTAGACTAATACCCAATCTATTGTGGATAATTAGCTTAATCCACTTCCTTAATATGTCTCTGAACCAGTACAGAAAGTTAGGGCATCTGATGATATAATCGGAGTTGTATGGAATCCAAAATAGCTCATGGAAAGAGACAAGTTCTACATCTACACTAAGAATGGTTACATTGAAGAGGAGACATTTAATGAGAACAATAAATTTATCTTTGACTTTTCAGTCAGAGGGCATGTTTGCATGAGTAGCAAGTAGAAAAAAGCTATTCACAGTATCCCATTTTTCGATCCAGTATTTAACTATGATCATCTGAAGAATAATTATGTCATGGATCAAGATAGAGAAATTGAATACAATCAAAATGTGCATAAATACTCTGAAGAGGGCTCAGCATACATAGACATATAGAATCAAATCATCAATAGGATCAAAGGAGGATACTTTATAGATAATATAGCTAGAAATTTTATACTATCCTAGAGATTTAGAGGCTATTAGGATTATTATTCTAACCAAGGTACAAACATTAACACCTAATCTAAAGGAATCAGGTCATTCTGGACAATGATGTATAAAATTTATGATAATGACAGCTATGCTGGATTTTTAGATGGAATATTAAACTAGCTAGATATTGGAATGACTGAAGGATGTACTGATATGAAAGAACTAAAGCTATACATGAGAAACTAGCAACCTGATTTTGATAGGACTGATGATCTCCTTGGATTTAAGATGTATAATAATGAACAAAGAACCAACATTATTAAATTCTGTGGTTGGACTGATTACCTTAAACCAGCTCCATAACAGTAATAGGATTCAAGAGCCAACCTAGGTGGAAGATCATAAAGAGTGAATCAGCCAATCAACTAGGCAATTTAAGAGATCAGACTGCTGAATTAGTAGACTTAACAAGAACTTAATAGAGTGTGTGGAGCTATTGAGGAAGATGAAAAGCATATTTAAGGTGGCAATTCCAGAGCCTGTATAGTAGCCGCAATGCATTTTGATTTCTTTAGAGCTATGGGATATTCTACGCATCTTGATCCATAAATCAAATATAAGGAAGATGCAACTAATACCTAAGTACTTAACTATATGCTAACTAACCTTAAAAACATCATTAATGGTCTAGGCTAATCATTTTCTGAAAATTAGGCATAAGAAAAGCTAAAGTAGCTTCTAGGTTTCTCAAAGGGTCTGCATAATCAAATGAAAAATCCATACTTTAGAGCATTTTTCGGCTTCATGTAAAATTTTATATAATTATATTTTGAATTTAGGGAATGCTACATGACTAATTTCGCACCAGACATAAGTTTGAAATTCTTCCATCAATTTGGAAAAATGCTTAATTTCTTTGATCTTATTGCTTTACTTACAAGATTTTTCAATTCTTCATTGGTAAAATTATTACTCTAAGTAATTCATAAATTAGCTCGTTTAAAAACTAAGAGACATTGTAGCCTTTGGCATTGACGAAGGAAATCTAGAAGTGATAGCTTTGATAGGACTTAGATCTCCATATCTGTTCCATCTATTGCAAAACTATGTCGATAAGTATGGAGACATCTAGACTGCTGCCTATATCTCAGCCTACTCCTACACCTTGTAAAATATGACCCAGAAGAAGCCAGATCCCAGAATAAATATCTTCATTTAAGAGTATAGAAATATGCTGAATCATTTGTAACTCTGGTATCACAGAGCAAACTTTGATGTCTCGGTGGGTTAGCTGGATCAGTCTAACATATTCAAGCGTTACGATTTGAACTTCAAGAAAAATGGAGACTCCCTTAGAAATACTGCTCTTGATATGCAGAATTAAGCACTGTAACAGCCCAAGTAAGTTAATACTGAGGATTTAGGAGAGATACCTCCTGAAAGGAAATTGATAGAAGCCTAGTTAGTTCATAAATTAGGGATAGTAAATGACCCATTCGATAAGAGACCCTATGAAAACTCAGCCAAGTGCTACTACTGTCAAAAGCCTTTTTCCATCAAGCACTCGATTAAAAACTACTTGCAGGTAAACAAAGAGAAGAAACAAATTCTTAACACTTCCAGTCTCTTAAGTTCAATCAATAATAACAATAAGCTTTAATAAAGTCATGCTGAGATGGAGAAAGCAATAAGAGTAAAATGCGATTGTGGTAAATCAATACCATCCTGTGCTATCTGCCTTAATCCAATTGGAATACTAAATCCTTATCAAGAATTGAAGAACAAAGCCTCAGTCTCCAACGTTGGCTTTGGCGGTCTCGGAGTAAACTCTAATGAAAACCAATCAAATATTCAATTAAAACGAGAACTAGAAATGTGGTTTCTCTGGTGTCAGAATTGTAAGCACGGTGGTCACACTCAGCATATTTTGGAATGGTTCAAGAATTAGCCAGAGTGCTCTGTAAGTGGTTGTGACTGTAGGTGTAATCTCATCCAAACTGAATGATTGTTATTATTATTATTATTCCTATCCTCTTCACATTTCAGTCTGATGGGGTTTTGGGGTTTTGGGGTTTTGGGGTTTTGGGG